GCCAGACTTCCACGTGTCCGGAAATAGCCTTCGTGAAGGCAGAAGTTTTAGCATCTTGGTAAATTTTTCCCTGTCCGCTAGGAAGAGTTCTTCTGTGATATCTATTGAGAGCCCGTCGTCCCCTGGGGCTTTCCCTCTTTTGGTGGACCTTATGATTCCCTCTATCTCTTCTTCCGTAAATGGAAGATCGTCTTCTGTGTTGGGGTGGTTTTGGACTTTAGCTCTTATTTGACTGTGAAACCCCGTGTCCTCATCTTCCTTGTCTTGGGGGAAATGATATCTTATAATTGCTTTTATAGTTTCCGTTGTATTTTGTGTCCACTGCCCTTGATCGTCTTTTATTCTGCATAATTTGAGAGGGGAGTATGCTTTACCCTTTGCCAAATTAAAGTACGTGCCGAAAGGGGATGTCAACTTTAGGCTTTCCCAGTATATGTCCCATGACTTTAGTTTTTCTATTTGGATTTGTCTTCGGTATGTGGCGGCAACCTTTTTGTAATCTTGCCTTTTGATCTTGCGATCCGGACCTCTTGCGTTTTGAAAGATTTTTCGAAATCTTCGAACTTTTTTCCTAAGTTCTGTGAGATGGGTCGACCACCATGTTTTTGTGCCTCCTCTGATGTGGTGTTTCGCACTTTTGATTGAACACTTAAGATTATTTTTATATGCCTCTTTGATTTTGTCCGAGATTATTTGAATTTGCATATTTAGATCGTCCTTACCCTGCGGGTCTTGTATTTCACTAATGACTTTTGATATGTCTCTTTTTAATAAGAGCCAATTTGTGTGCGTTAATTTAATTCTTGGTGTTGGGCCTGTTTGAAATTTATTCTGGACTTGGAAGTTGACCGCTTGGTGGTCACTAAGAGTCTCCCTTTTATCCACTTCCCATTGATCTATGAAGATATGATTCTTCTGTTGAAGTAGAGTTAAATCTATCCATGAATTGCCCCTTGGCCCTGAGAATGTGGGGGGGCTGTCTGCTTCATTTAAAACTGTTAGGCCTGCTGCGGCTATGAAATCTCCTAATCTTTGTCCTCTTGCGTCTGTGGGAGATGGTCCCCAAAGAGGGTTCTTCGCGTTAAAATCTCCGCAGACTATCGTGGAGATCTGGGATCTTTGTATGTGTTCTTCTAAGGTGGGAAGAATCTGATTTAAGATCGTCGTGCGGTGGACAATACACTGAGATTATTAAGTTAAAGGGCGTGTCGCCGTCTATTTTGACTATCACTATTTCTTTTGATGTGTGGATTTCTAGTATTGGTATTTTTGGGATCTATTACCTAGAATCGCACTTTTTGCTCCTTCTGGGTGATAGTACTGTCTTACCCTCTGTGGAAAGCCGCAAAGTTTATTTTTAATTAGGAAACGGCTCCTGGATGCAAGCTATTGAATAGCTGCTGTTTTCTTCTAAGTCCCTTCTAAGTTGTAAGCTCGCACCCCTTGAGTGCTGTAGATTAACTTGTGTGATTTTAAATTTTATCCATAATTTATTTTCCTCCTTATTATTTCTAGTTCTCTTATTTTACTTGGACAATTTATTGTCTCTCCCATTATGTTTATGGTCTAATTTTAATCCGAAATCCTGGTTGGCTTTTCTGCAATTTTTACATCTTTCTTTTTTGGACTTACAGTCCTTTTTAAGATGCCCTGTCTTGCCACAGTGATGGCAGCACTGTTCTTCCTTACAGAATTTTTTGGTGTGCCCGAAGCCTAAACAGTTTTGACATTGTGTGACCTGAATGTATTCTCTTACATTTTTCCTAGTCCAAAATAAATTAATCTTTTTATTTTTCATTAGAATTTTGAATGTCGTTGGGTCTACGGAACATACCCAATGTTTTCCATATCTTCCGTTCATGTTGAACTTAACTTCTAATTCTGCCGATTGAATGTCCGGATTTTGGGTTAGGATTTTCTCCTTTAAGGTTTCTGCGTCTATCTCTTCTTTTATATTGTATATTATAATCCTGGGATTAAATGTTCGTGGCCTTTGAGGTTCAACTAAGTCTTTTAGTTTTTGATTCTCTTATCGCGTCTTCTAACACTTTTAAGTCGTCCTCTTTCACTGTCTCTATTATCACTCCGCCTTTGCGTATGTTTTTAACACTTTTAACTCCTATCTTGAGATCATTAGGGTTTATATTTTTAACTAATTGTTCTTTGACGTCCTGAGATGTTGCGCCCTCATCTTTTGGGAAAACTAAAAGTTTATGTTCTTTTTCTTTACGGACCTGGATCTGGATCTCTGTCTTTGTTTAGCCCCGCTGGCTTTAAGTTTATCTGCATATGTCTCTTGTGGAGAGGTGTTTGACACAACTCCTTGAATGTAATCTTCTATATTCTGCGTATTTTCTAATTGTCCTTCTAAGTACGCTATTCTTAAGTTTTGTTTTGTCATTATCATTAATAGACTCGTAAATTGGTCTTTGATAGTCTTTCCTAACTTTTTAGAGATTTTCTCATTATTTAATATGCCATCTAAGTTATTTAGGCACTCATGTGCCTCTTCTATAAAATGTTCTGCATTATCACTAACTGGTTCTTTGTACACTATTTACAGTTCCTTGCACTTTTAATGCTTTCACTTTCTTCATCTGTATGACTACACTGTCTTTGAGTCTCATCCGGGTCTCTTCGATCCCCGGGGCCTTCTGGCCTCTCTGACTCGTGTTCACTTGGAGCGGTCATAGTGCTTTGTATTTGTTAGACACACTATGAGCGTGTGGGGGATGTGTGCCCTACTCGGAAACCACCGCGAGCACCGTAAGGGATGCAACAAGTGCGGTGGGTGCTCTTCGCAGTGACCGGTACCCTGGGGTTCTCACCGATCACCACTACTAGGCTGTGGAATTAGTTGGACCCTCTTGCGAGGGAGCCCCCAGACCACGGCAAGGTCAATTCCACTGGAAAGCGATTTAGCAAATAGATCACCCGTTGACGACGTTTAAACTCAGGAGTACTGGACGGCACCCGACGTTCTTTCTGAGATGCGTCAACAGGCTCGAAGACTTCAACGTTTCCGTATCAATCAAAACTACTATAATCGCTTCCCCCTGGGGGTAGGGTGGGGTAAGGGGGACATGTGTCCCTTGGCACAGCATCCATGGGGTCCCAAACTGATGTTACAAAGTCTTAGAATGAAATGTTTTTTATTCTTGGCATTCAGAAGGGGGAGCAAAATTTTCAGTTGTTTTCAGACGCTGAAAACCCTAGCTGACAAATCATACACAAATCTGGCACTACACATTTTCCCACCTGATGCAATCTCTGTGAATCATAAATTCTGCTGCCTAGTGCCTTCCTGAATTCTAAAATTTTGCCATTTCTAGATTTTGTTGCTCGATGTGTCATTAAATTCTAAAAATTCTGCTACATTGGCCCTTACTATATATCATTTCATATTTATTCTGAATGTTCTTATTGCTAAAGAAATAAAATTAGCACCTTTTCCTATACATTCTAAATGAAGAAATCTTTAATTAAATCCAAAATTTTATAGAGCCATTAGGTATTTTTTGAAAGTAGGATAATCTCTGCGGTAAGGGCAGAGGCCCTGACTACAATGTAAAAATGGATCATATAAGTGTGCACATGTCCCCTTTTAACAACTTCTGTGAATTATAACCTCCCTTAGGCATTGCATTTAGAGCCTAATTTTTACACAGTTTGTTAAGGTTGGCGTACAGATGCATCCCTGCCATTAATCTCATTTTTGGAAAAAAATGTCACATAACTGCTTTTTACGTCTACTGATTCATTAGTGTTTATATATTTTGTGGAATTTCAGTGTATAATTATTATTGTAGTTATCAACTCTCATTCCCACAACTGGAAAGGAATGCATAAATAGTACTTCACAAGATTCTTCAACAGTGTTTTCTTCTGACTTTTGTGTGATGATGAGATCACAGTCATTTACACTTTATAATGAAATTCTTAATCAGCAGTTGCTTTACTGTTTGACTTTATGTCATTCTATGAATCTTAGGCAAAAGCATCTAGCATACATGTTATTATTTAAGATGCCTCTTGTATTTTATTATAAACAAATAAATTATTCTGATATCAAGAGGCTGTAATTAATTTTTAACATGTAATGGAACATGTTAACATAACATAATTTAACATGTTTAATGGGAAAAAACAGCTTTTATATTTAGGAAATCTATAATTTCTCTGATGAATGGAAATAAATTCTTTTAAATTTCCTGCAATTTTTAAAAAATCTTCTGAATTCTTAGTGTATTATTATTTTGATTTCCAGCATGCTGTCTTATGGTTATAAAACTCGTGATATAAATGTTTTAGAGTATTATTATTAATAATTTGCTATGGTATGTTTAGATGATGGAGGAAATTTTTTAATCTGTGCTTGGTATTAATAATTGCATTTTCCATACTGAGTGTCAGGTAGTTTAATCTTTGATTATTTGGATTTGAGATTTTCGTATAAATTTCAAGATTTTCCATAATGGGATTATGTTCTTTTCAATATTATTATTTTTTGCATTATAAAAATTATGCTCTTCACAGAGCTTTTACTTGCTTTTATCTTATGCACTTATTTGTTGTTATCATTTAATCAAAGGAAAAACTACCATGCAATATTGATGAGAATTTTATTTAGTTGACAGTTTTGTGTTTAGTTGTTGCTCACTGCAATTCAGATTTTTTTTTCCTTTTCTTCTCAAATATATGCAATTGACTTTTCCTTTTACATATAACTGGATGTCTAATTATAATAAATGACTTTTTTTTAATCAAATGACTGTAATAACCCATCAAAAATTTTAAAGTAACCCATAATATTTTTTAAGGATAAATTTACACTCAGTCTTTTTTATTTACTTAAAAAACATAGACAGATTTTAAGCAAATATTTGCTATCAGTGTTATTTCATTAATATAAAATGCTTTTATTTAAAAAATCAGAACTATTGTAATTTTTATTTTACTGCTTGACTTGTATAATGACTTGTGTATTATTTCTTTTAAAGCTAAAAGATATTGCAAAATGATTATAGAAGATGGTGGAGCACAAATTCTGAAAAATTTACTAAGAGATCCTGAACTTCATCCATCAGTAGCAGATATATGTAAAGAAATACTTCGTATTGTAAAAGAAGAGTGTCCAAATATGATAAATACATCTCTATGATCAGGTTTATTACAAGTGCCATTTGATCTTAGTGTATTGTTATTTTAATTTGTAATTTGCTCTCTTATAAGTCATCAAACTGCTGTGATATAAATGCTTTTAGAGTAATACTGTTATTAACCCTTTGCTACAGGTATGTATTTGGATGATGTTCTATTTAAAATGCCGGCTATTTCCTAAATTTGTATTTACTATTAATAATTGCATTTTTCATTGAGCATTGAGAATTTTTAAAAACTGATTTAATATATAAAATACAATTTCCACATGCACTGTTGTACAGAATAAACACGACAACCATCAGAAATTGCAGGACCTGTATGCAGAGGGTTACTGTCTTTATATGAAGTATTGTTCCATTTGTAATTCCATTTATTACTTTTTTTCCTTGCGTTGCTTAAAATTTTCTGATGAACTGCAAAACTTAAATTTAAATGATACAAAAACTTGGGAGGAGGGTTGCTGATGCCAGTAGGTTTTCCAGTCATTTAAAAAAAATCTGAAAGTTTTCAGATTTTAAATTATGTCTAGAGGGGCAATTTTAACACCTTTATATATTAAATATCATGTTCTTTGCACTTAAACCATAAAATTCAGTTCAAGAGCAATATCGGAAAATAATTTAAATTGAGCATATCTTTAGAATTTCTGATAACACAGTATCACACACTGGAGATAAAAATGTTCTTTCTGTACAACGTTGACATTACTCGCTTTGAAATCCTTGAATTTGTTAATCAAAAATTCGTTAAAGTTTTACAAAAATATGAAATCGATAATAAAATTAATTCCATATTTCAAATTTGTGCTTCCAGATGCCCATATTTGCAGTAGACTTACGCTATTCAAAATTTGATGGCTCTAGGCACCATTGTTTTATCACAATGCGAGAAACATACATACATTTATGCAGATCCTTTATTTAATTTCTTCCAAGTATAATACAAGGCGATGATATTTGGTGGCAACAGTTTGAAAACCAATACAGCATTTTAAAGATTTCAACGTAAAATGCCAAAACGAAAACAATAGTCCCTTAGGGACAAAGCCTCTTCGGACTAGCATTAAAAATGAACGCTTCTATTTTTAGTATGCAGGATATTAAATCGTATAATATAAGGAATTACTCAGGTTCCTGTTCCTAATTTCAACTTTAAGATTACATATATTCTCCCAATTTTAAGTATTTTGAAAGTATCTTAACATGTAGCTTTTGTACTTTATATGTACCTTATGTTCCGGCGTATAACACGCACGTTATTTCAAACTACATTTTTTAATTCTTAGATATATTCGCCATATAACTTGCACCCTTTTCATTACAAATATACCTGAAAAGATACATGTGCAATGGTATTATTTTTTGTAGTTGTTTATTTGAACATTTTTGACCGGCTTTTAAATAAAGGTATACTGAATTGTCAAGTGACAAGGAGAACAATATGTGTGTGGAGAAATGTTTGAGGGAGTATATAATTCTGTAAAGAGGGTGGGTTGTATTCAAGATTCACAATGCAAGTGTATTGTATTGTACATAAGAATGTTATTCCAGGATTTCGAGAAAAGGGGACATAAATGTACTTCCAACACAAATCAATTTGCAGAATTAGGAATCGGATATACTCGTTCTGTATTCATTTGAAGCCAAGATTTTAAAGTAAATATCAAAGGCTTTAGCAAATTGCATTTGCTTTAGCTGAAATACCGTTGATCTAGTGTTCCTTTTAATAATTAATATTGCTCCTGCCAAACAAAAGAAACATAGTGCTGGTTTCAAATGCAGTCACTCAATTTGCTAAAGAAAATGGATATCAAGCAAGGATGTTGCGTATTGGTGAAAGCTCCGTAAGTTAATGAAAGAAAAATGATATTGCGTTTATTTAATATGCAGATATATCTTAAAGATATTTAATATATCTTTTAAGAAAGGAGTAATGTAATGGCCTATCCTAGAAGAAAGTGTTGTGAATTGAGTCCTAGAAAATCGCTAGAAAAACCATTTAGGTACCCATAGAAATGAAATTTTTGTATGCTAACCTTTCCTTATTTTTAAATCTATCATTTTTATAGCTGGCATGAATGCACATCTGTAAATTTAAATCTCATTTTTTGCATTAAAAGTGCACATTATACACCGGAATATATGGTAATTGTGTTAATTTTTGTGTTATCAATTTAATATTATAATACTATACTGTAATTAATTTTTGTATAGGCATATACAAAAATTATGTATAAAATATTATAAATATATATATGTAATGAAACTGACTTAGGTGTAACAATGTTTTAGATATATTGACTACATTCATAATGAAAAGCAAACTTGGCAGCCAAAGCAAATTAAATGCTCATGTTTATTTTAAAAAAACATGTAGCCACAAACAAATTGGGACATTGCTCATTCAAAATGTTTATATACATATGTATAATTAAATTGTAATTAGAATTATATGTCATAGCAGTTTAATAGAATGATGTTAATACTGCATTTATGTATAATCTAATCTAAATGTTAATTATGTCATATTCATGAATATATAAAACGCATAGAGAAATGTAATGCATTCTGAAAAATATAAACTTTTAATATAAGTTATGTTAACTGTTTGTAAAAATATTGCATTAAAAATATTCAAAACAAAAACATAATGTACAAAAGTTTTTCTTAAAAATAATAATAATAATAAAGCATGAAAATTTAAAATTTTATTTCTTCATCAATAAAGTAATTACAAAAAATCAAATACAGTGCAAAGTCTTTAATTCGGATGTCCATAATCCGGAATTATCTATAATTCGGATGTCCATAATCCGGAATTATCTATAATTCGGACCTCAAAGCTACAAACTTTCTGTGCATGCGTAAATGCACAATACGTTTAATACCTTTACGCATGCACGTTAAATGTATAACAGACAGTATAAGCTAGGCTAAAATTATCTATTTCAGTTAATGTTGCAGATTGCGTTGTTCCTTAATCTTCTAATTGGATCCGGCTTATTATTTTTTGCAGACTGTTAGAGCAATTTTATAAAAAGTAAGCTTGAACTTTCGATTATGTCAAAAAGAGTTTCCGATTCTGGAGCTGCCAAAGGATCTACAAAGTGAAAGCATGTTTCGATGTCCATCAAACAAAAAGTGGAATTACTGTAAAGAAATGGATAAAGGCATGAAGAAAGTGACAGATAGGTTAGTGAAAACGAAAAAATTTTGATTGACAAATTAGTCGGTATTCTCGACACAGCAATTACATGACTTGAACAGCAGAACTTTGTAACTGAACAAGAAATTATGTCTGTTTATAATTAAAGAGAAAGTATTATCACATAAAACGAAGCAACTTAAAACAACTTACATTGAAAGAAATATTTAAATAAAGTAAACAAATAAATATTAAGCCCTTTTTTTTTTGGTAAATTTTGATACCCTTTAGATCATAATTGCTCTTTATTTCATAAATTACAGTTTCATATTTTTAATTTTATAATTTCTGCATGCCATCTTACCAGATTTACATTGATGATCTATAATCTGGAAAAAACCCTAATCCGGAATCTCCAAAGTCCTGACGTGTCCGGATTAAAGACTTTGTACTATACTTGCTTACATAGTATATGTTGTATGCACATAGATATTCTCATGTGCTGAAAACCTAACATTTTAAAAAAAGTATTATTCTTAGATATTTTTTACTACTTTTGTGATTTTACTGCATTACTATAAGTGGTAATTTTTACTTTTTATAATACTAATGTTATTCATGTAAAAGCATATGCTTCTTAAAATTCGAAAAAGATCTAAATTTTCTTCCACAAACATTGCACAAACGTTCTTCGAATGCTTTTACTGGTTTTGTATGAGTAAATTCGTGAGCTTTTAAACCATTTGATTGTGAAAATTTCTTAGGACACAATTTACACTGATATGGACGTTCTCCTGTATGAATACGAAAATGACGTTGTAAATTTCCTAAAAAATTGAACGTTTTACCGCATGTTTTGCAAGCTAGTGGCTTTTCTTTGTTGTGTATCATTCTGTGGGTTTTTAAACCTTGTGTTGACTTGAAACCACTTCCACAGTCTTTGCAGACAAATGGTCGATCATCACTGTGGCTAACTAAATGCTGTTTCAGACAAGGAATAGATTTAAAAGTCCTTTTGCATATTTTACATGTAAAAGGTCGTTCTTCTTTATGTGTTACCATATGCTGCTTTAAATTATAATCCCTCTTAAAATCTTTACCACATTTTTCACACATGAATGGTCGTAAATTTGTGTGTGATATTAAATGTTTTCTCATTTCTATTGAATTTCTAAAGTTCAGACCACAATGTTCACATATGTATATCAAATCTTCGCCTGGATCAATTTGTTGATTCACATCAATTCCAGACAAATATAATTTATCACATGTACCTGGTGAAAATTCATTGTTTTCAGGTCTCAGTATATGAGAAATAATAGATGCATTTTCACCTTCTTTCACATTAGATTCTTTATTTGAACTGATCTCTTCTGATAAAGATGAATTACGTTCACTCTGCTTCAAATCCGAAGAATCATTTGATTTACTTTCTAAATTTGGTGTGCATTCTTCACCTTGTGCTGATTGCTGATTTATATGCTCATCAATTTCTTTACCTTCATATCTACATAGCCAACACTGTACATAGGAAAATGATTTTAACCTTTTCCCACAAGATTTGCACCGAGGATGAGATTTATTACTATGTATTGCTTTTATGTGAAACTGCAACGTACATTTCTGGATGAAAGCTTTTTCGCAGTACTCGCATTGGTATGGACGTTCACCAGTGTGTGTTTTCATGTGTTTTCGCAAGCCCCAAGATGTAGAAAATGCTTTACCACATACTTCACAGAAGAAATCTCGATCCTTATGAATGCTAATATGCTTTCTTAATACATTTTTCTGTATAAATCTCTGTCCACAAAAAAAACATCGGTGGCCTTTAGACTTTTTCTTTTGTATATCTGAAGATGTTACAGCTTCCTCGTTAGGTACAGATGTAATTTCTTGGCCCTGAACATTAGAAATCACCTCCATGACTTAAAAATTTCATGACCTAAAATAAAGTATAATAATAAATGAAACAGTATATAAAATTACATAATTTTTTTAAACAAATCATTGGAAAAAATTTTTACTTTATTGAAATGAACTTCATTATGCACAAATGCAGAATCTATGAGGAAGAAGAGTCTTCAGGGAATTAATATGGTATTAGGGAAAAAGGGAGGTTAGAGGTTATAAAAAAAGTTTTAAAAATTAATTAGATGCATTATTTAAGTATAAAATTTAATTAAATCTCAAAAAAAGGAAGTGATGATGATAAAGAACTGGTAGGAAAATATCAAATGATAATTAATGCAAAATTGTTAAATTAACAAAATTGATTGAAAACATTTCTACAGTAGATTAAATTTAAAGAAAAATAAAGTAGGGGCAAATGGCATTCAGTTAAGTGTTGCATGTTTTAAAGCATTTCTTAAAAACTTTTTTCATTCATGACAGTTTTTATCATTGAGATTTGGGGAGGGGAGCAACCCCACATTTTAAATATAAGATAAAGATATAAAAGTAAATATTTTCTCATAAATAATTTATTTCTTTGGTAATAAAAATACAAATGAAAAGAAGTAGTTTTAGGATTTGTTTCAACTATACAGAAATTAATGAAATAAAGTCACTTTATGAAATGGATGTGCTTAGTTTTTTGCTGCATAAATTAAATCTTGCCACAATATATAGCACTGCTAGATGTAAAACATATTCAGAATTTTTCAGTGTTAAACAATATTTTTGTTTAACAAGGGAAAAAGTTTTATGGCAGTATGTCACGTGAAATAGCAAAACATTTTATGCATTTCAAAAATTGTGGGAAATTCATCCAAGGGTTTTTGTGGAAACTCGCTTTGAGTCACTCTATAGATCAACAAATTTCTCTTGGGCTTTATAACAAGTGATTAAGTGACTATAATAATTTTTGTATTCAAAGTTACTCAGTTATTTTTTTTTTCAATTATTAAATAATTGATTGTAAAAACTTTTCCACCCTGTACTTCTAAATGTTCAATTTATCATTCTAAGTATATATATGGCTATTTTTCCTTTGAGGAGATGTTTAGTTTCTGAAAAATATGTGATAAATGGTGCAACTTTGATAGCCATAAGTCATTTTGAAAAAGAGTAGTCAGATCAGATTTTTTTTCAGTTAAAAATATAATTCCATCTTTTAATAACAATAATTTTCTTAGATTTTGTCCTCTTGACATCCATCTTACTTCTGTGCATAATAATAATTTTTTATATTCAGAATCCATCTCTGCAGAAATTTAATGAAGTTCATACTTTTGACAGCATCTTGAAGCACATTGTTTAATTCCGCTATTAATTTTTTGCTGCAAGGGCTTCTCGGTGGTTCAGGCAGCATCAAGTTACATGATTCATTAGCAGAAGTTGTAAGAAATTATTTAAAACTAATGTTTCACCTGTCATTGCTATTGCACCATCTGTGCATATCCCAATGCAATTGTTTCATTCTAAAGCTTCAGTTTTAAAAAATTTATCATCTTTACAGTGTATGTCTTCTCATCTTAAATATTCTTCCAAATGATGTCAAAATAACAATTCTTCATTGATGTTTTCTTCATAAATGTATCTGACATATACTAACAACTAAGCTATTTTTGAAATATTAATTTTTTCATCCAACTGAACTGTAAAAATTTTGGGCTTTCATTAAATAGTAATAAATTGCTCAAATACACAATTTCTAATTTCAGAAATTCTGTTGATTAAAGTATAAATTGACAAAGAAGTTTTCGCAATTTCATCACATATTTGCATCCATTGAGAATTTCTACTTAATAGCCACTTACAAGGTCTTGTTCAATGGCGTATGTCCTTTTTAGCATACTCACAATGTATGAACCTTCATACATTGTGAGTAAATAGCTTCTGCTAACACTTATCAATTTCTTAAAATATTATTTTCCTTTAAGAAAATTTTAATAGTCATTCAAAATATGTTTTTGCTTTATTGACATAAAAAGAATGTTTGGATTTAAGATGTCTTTTAATTTTGATGTTAAACCCTGCTTAAAGAGAATATGTAGCATTGCTATCTGCATTATTAGCTTATAAGATATTTCTCCCGCCTTCATGGCATGCCTTCGTGGTATAGTAGTCAGCACGCTTGGCGCGTATTCGAGAGGTCCGTGGTTCAAGTCCCGGTGGTTCAAGTCCCGGTTACTCATTTTTCATCTACCCTGCTTCAAAAAAAAATATATATATAATATACTAATGTCTTTAAAGCTTGAAAGTACTACTGAGATTTAATACTGAGAACAGCATTATTGCTAGATTTAAGTATTCTTTCTAGCTGAGAGTTTCAGGAGCTTTCTGTGTTTCTTGCTGAGATATTTGTAAGCTATAACAGGCATGCCATTTTTTAGGTATTTTTTTAATTATTAATTCTTCCTCCCTTACTTTTAAATTGTCTGATTTGTTATGAATAAAGATGATGTCAGAAGAATTGTGGAATTATTGTTAATGATACCTCTGAGATATCAAGCTACTCTTGTGACAGATACATTGCAGACTGTTGACTGTCTCTGGCATTGATCATGAAAGTGTAACTCTTACAGTATCAAATGGGGTTATTTTACACCTTAGTAATAACCCCATTTGATACTATAAAAATTAAAGTTAGCATTTCTATAATATCACAGGTATGTCATGTCAGCCACTGAATGGCTCGACTGTTCAGCATTGACCTTTAGATAACAATTTGGATGGTGAACCTCATATGAAAATTTGTATCTTTTTATAGATTGTCCCATCTTTTCTTATTCATAGTATCTAAATTGTAGCTTGAAACATGGGGTAAATAAAATGTCTTTTCCCCGATTACAAAAATTTAATGAGCGCAATCCATTATTAGGCATAAGCAATTTTTTTTTTTTTTTTTTTTTAAATTTCATTTAGACATTTTCAACATGTTACAGGACACAACAAATAAAGTGTTTCTTCTAGTGATTTGTTCAAATCCAAAATGCCCATTGCTGCCAGCAGGAACATTTGTCTATCAAGTCAAACTCTGATCTTCACGGTTATTATAGGCGTAAGCAGTTCTTTTTTTCCTTCAAACTACAACCACCATTCTGCTTTTCCAGTCAAAACTGATAATGTAAGGAAGCTTTCCATGGTGTTTTCTGAGAACACCCTGGAAACTTAATGTGTGTATGCACATCCATCCCCTATATAACGGTGTTCAGGAAAAGGAACCAGTGTTCACTTATGCAGCATCTACTCTTTAATTCTGGGAAACATCCATTCTTTAATCCCTAGGAAACACTTATTCATTTATAATTAAAGAACTTGACCTAATTGCCTCTAGGGGACTGCTTTAATCATAAGATATAGGTATTCTGTCACTCTCAACTCTAGTTCGAATAGAGAGATTTGCAAGCAGTGTTTCATAGGAACTTGGGTATGTACTTGGTTCTAACTACACTGGTTGAACTATCTGCTAAACCTGTTTTATTGAAGTACTATGTAACTGAAAGATAAATGATGAACTACAAACACCTTTTATCAGCCAAAACCAGTTTAATCTAGATCTGAATAATCAGACTTTCGCCAGCTTGAGTTTTATAAGCGGTTGAGGTGAGTTTAATAAACAACAGTTTTTTTCCTATTGATTGGTATATATTTGTTTTGATTCTTAGAAATCCAAATGCAATAAGTACCGAGTTTATTAACCAGTGAGTTTAATAAGCGACAAGCTAACTATTGAATTTCACAAAAATTTAAATAGTGGTTAGCCAGCTGAGGGAAGGAAAAACTAGTTATTGGGATAAATAGTAAATTTTTCTGTTTTGTTAAATTTTGAGTTATTTTTAGTGAGATTGATGTTCAGTGCTATAAGCCAACACTTTTCAGAATTTTTAATCCCATTAATAATGGTCCTTTGGTTTTTTCAAAAAAAAAAAAAAACATATGACAACGTTTACGTGCAGAGTATAATTTTTCTATTTGGTTATGAATTTTCAAGAGACAGAATATTGATGTCATTTGGACTAAAGAACATGGCTGAATATTTGAAATGCAAATCTTAATTTATATAATAATTTCTAAAAATTTATAAGGAAACTATGCCATATAATATATAAATATCATTCAGAGAAAAATTAACTGATAATAATTATCTTGTATGAACAAACGGAATTAAAATTGAACTAAGAGTAAAAATATGCCAGAGGAAGGAATGGAAAGAAATGGTAGGAAACCATTTTAAAAAATGAAATAGTGTCAAAAACAGCAGATATTCAAATCAAGTGTAGAATGGAATTAGCTCGACTGAAATGAAGCAGAATGAATCTATAGATGCTTACATAAATACAGCTATAATTTTGACAAGTAGGGAATGCAATTTAGGATAAAGAATTAATGTACTTAATAGAACAAATTTGAAGGAGATGTTACTCATAAAATTGTTAAAACAGAAGACAAAGAATAAAATGCAATTAAATAAGCATTATAAGAGACAAAGGAGAAAAGATCGTTTACATCTGAAAATGATCACAGGCATTTGCAGATTATTAGAATTTTACTTTATACAGTCTACCACAGATGGATTTAACAGTAACTGCACATCCTGCTTTGATTATGTAACCTTGCTCTTGTCTCGCTATCTTCCTGTCCCTGATCTTACATTATATTTTAATGGCCGAGTAGTTCCTCTTTCATTATTGGCTAGGAGATCTGATTGGTATCACTATACATGCAGTTAACAAAACTGGTTGAAAAATTATGCAATTTAAACTTAGGAAAGCCCACACATATGTCTTTAATTATTTTGGAATTAATGATCCCAGACCATAAACCTCAAGTCTTTCCCTAGTAAAATGTATCAGCTAAAAACAATTGCAGCATGTCTTTTTAAAAAATTATCGAATTTAACTGTGATGAAGCACAACAGAAATTATCAATTACAAAGTTGTAAGATGTCCTCTAATTGCTATGAGTCAGCATCCAGAAATACACCAATGTAAAAAAATT